ATTATTTTAAATTTAATAAATAAATCAACTATTATAACCTGAAGTAACCGTTACATAATTATTATAAAACAATAAAACGATCGATGATAAACCGTTAGAAGAAGAATAACAAAGACTGTTAGTCCTTTGTTACGAACAAAGAAAACCAGAACAAAGACTTCCCCATAATGCTAAAAATTGTATATAAACTAAAACTGAGCTAAAACAGTTAAGAATGACCCTAGAAACACCAAATTTTAATACTATAACCTATAACGTAACGAAATTATAACGATATAAAAATACCCCCCTTTATATTAAAAATTCCCCGTTAATACCGATCCAACGATACTAAATTTACGGACCCGTAACTCTCCCCCTAATATACGTAGCCAGACTATATTAATATAAAACTAACCGTTATATAATACGCTATTCAACGATGTATCGAACGATAAAATCCGAATAATAATTTCGAAACCAACCTTCACGAAAATAGAAGCGATGGGAAGAACCCATATATATATACAGAAAAAACCCCAAATTTTTTTGCATTTCTCGATGTTTGAAGGTCCAAGAATCCAAGAATCAGTCATTTTTTTGACTGATTACCATACTTTTTCTCTGTTATATATAAGAGCCCAGAAAGTAATAATCCATATCATATCTTAATATAAAAAATTATACATGTGTATATTAAATAGATTTTTCTATCACTCTCTCATTAAATTTATTGCATTAACTGTTAATTTATAGGCTTTAATTCACATTGACAAAAATAATAATTTACACTCTTAAGACAGTCAACCATAATTATCCTCATTGAAAGAAAGAACACTTTTTCTTTATTTGAATCAGATTAATTATGCTTGACTGTTATTTATTATTAAATGTTATCTGTAAACTTGTGAATTATCTGTAAAATTTAAATTTTACATAACAAAATTTATTACCTTTTATTTATTTTATTATTTCCCTCTTATTATTTTATTGCCTTGTATTCTAGTCAATTTATTACTTTTTATACTTGTTATTGTTATTTTTATTTTTAGTATATATTTTAGTTGTATTCATTTGCTTGTATTGGGAGTGGCTATTATTGTCTTAGTGATTAATTAAATTTTACCTGTATTAATTAATTAATTAAAATAAAAATATATATAAGATTTTTGTTATTAAAGAATTTTTTTTTCTTAAGTTTGTTATCACAGTAATATAATCAGAGACCTTTGATAATTTATTTAAAATTATATAAATTGTATCATGAAAGGTTACATCTGTCTATACTTTTCATTTTATCAAAACTAAAGTTTATATAAATTATTTATTTATTGTTTTATGTAGATTACATTTATCATCAAAGATATTCTTAATCAAATAAATGAAAGTTCTCTTTAAATTAGAAATGCAGTCACTATCGACATTTCAAACTTAAATTTCTTTTTATAAACATTTAAGTAGAAATTAAGCTAGTCAAAAATATATATCCATTCTAGTTGTCCTATTTTTCTGTAATATATTCAGGTGTTACTTACTTTCTCTAGCTGTAAATAATTATAAGAGAATGCTATCTATTAATTATTAGCATGAACTACATGTATATGTAGTCTGTAACAATTAATAATGTAACATCTAACTGTAATATTAAAGAACCAAAATATTAAACAATCTAATGATAGAATTAGTGAAAATTTTATTTTTTTTATGTCATGTTGTGGGTTTAAGTCTCATTTTTATAGTAGAAAGTGTCATTTTTATTAGATATTCTCGTTTTTAAAAAAAATTGTAAATATGGTGATTCATAGCATTCTTCTAACTTATTAAAAAATTACTATGCTAGTTATTAAAATCACATATTTTTTAATTTACATTTGATGGGATCTATATATATGTTTTTTAAATAATTCTTTAAAATGTTCCATTTCCACATTCTGATTTAAAGAATCCTGAGGAAGATCTCCTGTGAAGATCGAAAATGTTAGAATTTGCAATTGATTATCCTGGAATTTCTTTTAAAGTTCAATTCATTGCTATATAATGGATTTAATAAGGTTTATATATAATGGATTTAAAGTCAATTCACAACAGAATTATGTGAAGAACTTAGTCTAGGACCTAGGCTAAATTATCCTTGCCCCTCTATCTGGGTTTTTAAGTGCAATTATTACTATTCTAATTCACATTGATAGTTACAGTTTAAAAAATGTCTTTGAAGAAAGAAGATTGCCAACATATTTGACAAAGACAATCTGACTCATTTTGATAGATAGTCTAAAATACATATTTTTAATGAAAAACTAACATTACTTTGAAGTTTTAAATCAAAGTTAACTCATACAGGTACAAACTTTTAGTTGTACAACTATCTTTACCTTAATTTTAATAAGAAGACACTTTGTCTTACATGTTAGTACAAAATTATCTTAAGTATTTGATTACTTAAATATATAACATATAATGAAAAATGTAACTATTTTTAGAAAGTTATTAGGAATTTAATACTGTAATTTAATTCAAACTAGTCATTAACTACATATCAATATCAATAACCTAATCCTTACTACCCAACACTAATTTAACAAATATCATACTTTTGGTTTCTTAAAACGTCATTTCATATATTATCTTTATATTATTGACATTAAAATTTAAACTGGAAAAAGACAATCAGCAACTATATGTTTAGCATCAACTTAATACAAAGAGATAGAGCACAGTGCAATATCAAAACAATTATAATTATAGATATCCAATTCTGTTTGTGATTTGCATGGTTCACATAGAAGAATAGTACTAAAATTTATAAAAGTATATAAAGCACACTCAACAGATAAAAACCAAGTCAAATTTACTGAATTACAGCTGTGTTTATGTAGTATTATCATCTAAATTTCTCATACACACACAATGTAAACAGAGTAAATAGACAGGAAAAATAAATATTAACATTTAAATATTGCTTAAAATGCTATTATTTAAACAAAAACTGTCATATGGTTTTACAAATGCTAAACAACAAATAAACAACTAAAGATTTCACATTAAAATACTGTATATTTACTACTACTTTTGATACATTATACTCCGTCTATAGAAAAAATCAACTTAGGTATTAATCAATGAGCATCAGCCATTGATCGCTTACTGTAACAAGTTACTTGTGGTTTTTGATAAAAGCATTGCCATTGCCAATGTTTTTACAAAAAACTGGGAATTACCAACAAACTAATTATTATTATTTTGTAATATTTTATGTCTTCTTTTTATATGTTATAATTTTATACTTCGTAAAATTACCACCAATTATTTATATTTATGATTTTTGTTATATTATTATGTTTTTGTTCCAATTATTTAAAAAATATTTATGAAAAGTTGTGTTCTGTGCATTCCAGTTTGGAATATCATTGGTGACATGATAAAGATCTCGGTTAAGATTGAAAACATTTGTCAATTTGGCATAAAAATTTTCATTACTGGAAGTTAAAGGTTTAGATGATTGTGCTTAGTATTCATTATATTATATTTTTAATATAATGCATAGATTTCATGTTTATTATAATTTAAACACTAGTAAACTTTAATGATGTGTTTTGCAAGTAAACAATCTAAATCCAGAACCTTCCAGCAAGAGACAACATTCACTCTAATGTTTCAAAAACACGTTTACAAAACTATTAAAATAAAAGTTTTAGTGATTCATTAAACTCCAACAAAAAATAACATTTGGCAAAATGTAACTAATTTTGTGTTTCAAATACCGTATTTCTATTTTTAAAAATATGAGAACTTTTAGACAAAATGTAGGCTACACAGACAGTTTCAACTACAAACATTAGAAATAGTTTTTTTTTATCTTGTCATATAAATGAATTTGTTAATAAAAGAACTACTACCACATTACAAGCCATACAATCAGCTCAATTATACTCAGCACAAATAGAACCGGCTCTTTGCTAAGTGGCCGGATGAAGAATAAGGTACGATATATCCGAGTAAATCCTTCAACAAAAAATGCACAAAAACAGCCCACACTCGAATACATATCATAGAGGACAGACAGTATTCTTCACCACTCTTCCACTCGACTAACTTTCTTTTGTTACATTTGAATCACATAACTCATTTCCTTTTTAATTCTTTCTGCCCTGTGGACACTAAGAAAACTTTTTTCCACATCTATCACAGATTTGGATAAGACAACAACGGCATGGCCGGGCAACAAGCAACAAAGCTAGATGGGTCAATTTGAATCCAACTTAGCATGCCAACACTTTTAAGATCAGTTTACAGTTCGACAACAGCACGGAATTTCAGTCACTAGTCATCACCAGAGCCGACACAAATATGACAAGTTTTGTGCCAATGTGACACAACACTGGCACCAAATTTTGCAGTTTGCATCACTAGACCAGAAGTACAAAGCACAAATCCACAGTTTGACATCTAACGAAACAGAGAACAGCATAGTAAAACTCCACAAACTCCACCATCAAGGGGGCCATAAAACAGCCCCAGTCGTCCGGCCACTTCTCAGAATGAATTAAATCGATTCCAATATAGAAAAACTCCACACCAATTACAAAATATTTGAAGAAAAACAATTTAAATGTACAAAGCACAGCAGATACAGTGCCAAACTCTTCAAATTAAATGCATAAAAGATTGGCAAAGTAGACCTACTCTCCTTTTATTTTTATATTATAATCACTTACAATTGCTAATTATATAATTCTGACACAAAAGATCTACAATTTAATGTAACCACATTAGAGAACAGCAGCATTCCATGCATGTCAGAGAACAACATTAACCATTTTATTAATGATAATCAAGCATAATTGGCATAACACATTTATGATTAAATTATGCCCCATTAAACTCTAAAGTGGTAAATCTCAATTAAAATGTATAAAGTTTATACATTAATTTGCATTTTAAACTTATTTACAAGGAAAGAAATTGTTTAATAATTATAAATGAAAGAAGTATTAATTTAATTTGACAATAAATCAATTTACCTGTCTTTCTAAAATAGTTTTTGTTACAATTCTATGATAATAATCGAGTCTAACTCCAGAATTACTTCTGCTCCTCATTTTGTCGGCGTTTTATAATCTAAAATCTACAATTAAGAATTAATTAAAATATTTTAATAAAACTTCTCCATTTTTAAATTCGACCTTCAACATCAAAACCCAGACGATCGTCTCCCGATGCGCCACCTGCACAATTACAATTTTTTTTAAAAAATTAATAAATAAAAATCGTTATTAATAATATTTATAACACTTTAAAACTTTATAAATAATTTTTGATATTTATTAAGTAATTTTTGTAATTATTATTTTAAAAAATATCCGGTTTTTAAAGTTAACCTTTTTTTTTTTTTTTTTTTTTAAAATACTCTTTGCCTAAGAATTT